AATATCTTCACAACTCTGAATCCAGAATTCACAAAATTTAGATCAGATTATGCTTGAATTCAAAGGGCAGAAATATGATCAGAAAGCTAAAATTAGACTAGAAACCAAACACTATGAATTATAGTCTCAATTCAGTCACAGACTATAAATAAATTACATTGTTTAAAAGTATCTCAGTTTATGCAATTTGTAAACTTAATTTGTTTCCGTTTTTCCTTAACCTTTCAAGAACGAATTTAGAGAAGTACAAGGAAGGAAACATGGGATCTCGGTAGAAAATAAAAAAAATGATCCAGGCACAGTGGCACACACTTGTAATCCCAGCACTTGTGAGATAGAGGAGGATAAGGAGCTCAAAGTCACCTGCACCACACATTGAGCTCATGGCCTGCCTGAAAAATTAAAAAGACCAAAAAGAAAAGAAGAGAAAAAAGAGGGAAAAGGAGAGGGAGAGGAGAGGTAAAGAGAAGAAAAAAAGTAATTTCTAACAAACATCCATCAGTAGCTGAGAGGATATTTTTTCTTTCTTTTTTTGAACATGAATGCTAGGCAATCCAAATTCATGCCCTAATGCTTGCAAAACTAGTGCTTTACTGACTGAGCCATTACCCCAGCCCCTATCTTCTGGCACTCTTCAAGTTGTAAAACATGCTATAAAAATTAGGTTTTTGTGAAAATAATAATTCAGTGTGCAGAAAAAGAACCAAAACACCATGTCTCACAAGTCTTCCTATTACCTGCCTCAGAACTGCTGAGGTTGCTTGTTAATAATTACAGATCTATTTAGGGACAAGATTTTTGAAGCCAGGCACTGATTAAAGCTTTGGCAAGTCTCTCACACACTAAAATTCAAAACATTCATTGCAATGAGCTTCAACCTGTTCTGAGTTTATCAATTTTGTTTTCCTCTCAGTTTTTAGTCTATATTATTTAATTTTCTGACCACTCAAATTGGAAAACTCATTCAACCTGAAATAAGTATTTATACTGCCAATGTGTTGGCAGGACCCTGTGCTCAGAAGCTAGATGTAGAAAGATTAATAAACTCTTGAAGAATTCACAATCTGGTAGTAAAACCTAGAAAGTTCAGCTATTTCAGCTATTCAGTCCCTCAATCAGATGACCAATGAGCCACATAAATGCAGACCATCTTTAAGCTCCAAGAGTAATTATCACAAATAATATAAAATGAGCAACTTAACTTTCTTTTAAAATTTATTATTTTTATTTTATGTGTGTGAGTGTATTGCCTGCATTGTAGGTAGGTACACCCATGTCATGCAATGCCAGCAGAGGTCAGAAGAGGGTGTCAGATCCCCTAGAACTGGAGTTAGGGTTGGTTGACAGCTGCCATGTGGGTGCTGGGAATTGAACCTGGGTCCCCTGCAAGAACAGTCAGTGCTCTTAACCACTGAGCCATCTCTCCAGCCCCAAAATGAGCAACTTAACTTTAAATAATTCAATATAGTAAACAAAAGGAGATTAAAGATAACACTACACTCTTCTAAAGGCATCAAGTTTATCTGTTTGATCACTTCTACTAAGATACATAAAGCTAGAAAATACACCTAAAATTGCACGCAATATTTAATCATTCTACTCAGGTACTTTTCAAAAGTGAATAAAACAAATAGATTAGTTTGGTTTTTGAAACCATGTTTTCCCACTTACTATATATGTATTCTTGGCAAAGTACTTAACTATGAGGATTAAATGAGAATTTATATAAAGCACTTAGCCCAAAATGTAATAGTAAGTATATTTTATTAACTAAGACTCAATTTAATTATGGCACCTGAACTGCAACTTATACTCACATACTATAAATTCCCTATAAACTACAGTTAGTAAGATTTTTAGGGGTTAGAGAAATGGCTCCGGTGGTTAAGAGCACTGGCTGTTCTTGCAGAAGACCCAGGTTCAAATCCCAGCACCCACATGGCAGCTAACAACCGCCTATAACTCCAGTTTGAAAGGATCCAATGCCCTCTTTTGTTCTCTGCAGGCACTGTACAACATGGGCACACTTACATACATGTAGGCAATACACTCACACACATAAAATAAAAAATAAATTTAAAAATATTTTCATTATCTAATAGAATTTAGCCTTCTAAAACTACATGATTTATCTTTCACATTACCTGCTATAGTTCCAACACTTCTCTGTCTTGTCCAAATATCTGACAAAAATAAAATACAAAGATTGGGTATGATGTCTCCCAGGATTTGGGAGACACAGGCAGGTGGAGCTTTGCAAGTTCAAAGCCAGCCTGTCTACATAGTGAATTCCAGGCCAACCAGGGCTACATAGTGAGACCCTATCTCAAAAACGAAACAATAAAAACCATAGCATAAAATATAAAAATATCCTGGGGCTGGAGAGATGGTTCAGCAGTTAAGAACACTGGCTATTCTTGCAGAAGACCTGGGTTCAAATCCCAGCACCTACATGGCAGTTAACAACTGTCCTAACTCTAGTTCCAAGGGATCTGACAGCTTCTTCTGTCCTCTTCAGGCATTGCATGACACGGGTGCACTTACCTACATACAGGCAATACACACATACACATAAATATAACAAATAAAATATTTTTTAAAAAATTAATTAATTAATAAAATAAAAATATCCAACAAATGTCTGGTTAAGGGAGCCTAGCAGAAACCTTTATTTTTTAGAAGTATTCTTATGCCATAAGAAAAATACATCTTTCAAAAAATCTGGAAATTCAGAAAATATAAATAAAATTAAAACAAGGGCTTGAGAGATGGATCAACAGTCAAGAGCACTGACTGCTGTTGTAGAGGACCTCGATTCAGTTTCCAGCACCCACATGGTGGCTAACAACCAAATGCAACTCCAGCTCCAGGAGATTCAATGCCTTCTTCTGGCCTCCATAGGCATTGCAGGTATGGGTGCACTTTATTTTACTTATTTATTTTGGTCTTTTTGAGACAAGGTCTCCCTGTACCTCTAGCTGGCCTGGAACTCACTATGTAGACCAGACTGGCCTTGAACTCAGAGATCTGCCTGCCTCTGCCTCCCAAGTGCTGAGATTAAAGGCATGCATCACCATACCCGGTGGGTGCCCTTTCATATATGAAGCCAAAATACTCATAACATTAAAAAAAAAAAGACTAAAAATTTTAAAATAATTCACTATCTCATTAACTAAATACCACTATTATTCATCATTTATAACTATATGTATAATTAAACAAATCTGGGATTATTTTCAATTCTTTGTTGTTTTTACCTAAAAGTACATGTCAATATCTTTTAAAATACAGTATTTGTTCATATGACTACAGCAATGTATGTAACTTCTCTACTTACGATACCAATTTTCTTACTGTATAAATAATGTACTGATGGATATTATTTGTAGAAATACTGTGAGCATCTCTCTTTTTTTGAAACAGTTCTAGAGAGAGAATTATAGCCTTATGTTTGTTTTCTTGACATAGGATCTTACTATATAGTCCTGGCTTGCCTGAGCTATGTAGACAAGGTTGGTCTTGACCTGGCAATTTCCCTGCCTCTGCCTCCCAAGTGTTCAGATTACAGGTGTGCATAACAATACCCACCTCTCTTCAGGGTTCTTAATGCATAGTGATACATTGCTCTCTTAAAGGTAACAATTATTATTATAGTACTGTTGCATATTCCTGGAAGAGGTTGGGAAAGACAACTTTCTAAACTTAGAAGCAACAAAAATGAATCACAACCGGGTGTGGTGGCTTTAATCCCAGCACTCGAGAGGCAGAGGCAGGTGGATCGCTGTGAGTTCAAGGCCAGCCTGGTCTACATTGTGAGTTCCAGGCTAGCTGGGGCTACAGGGAGACCCTGTCTAAAAAAAAAAAAAAAAAAAAAAAAATCACACATACAAAAAGAATGTCAAATTCCAATGGCTTATTTACTTCATTTTAACACTGTAGCATATTGTAATACTCAAGTGTATGGTGATGTTAGTTATTGTAAACTAACCTGTACTGCTAGTCAAATGAACATATAGCACATACAACTATACAGAATACATGTAATACTTCAATAATGATAAGAAATGACTATCACTGGTTTATGGATTTACTGTGATTTTTTTATTGGTTTAGAGCATACTCCTACTATGAAAAGTTTTCTGTAAAAGAGAATGCTATCTTATACTGACATCAGCCTAATACATCTTATGTTTACTATATCTTTTAATCACATCAAGAGGCAATGGCAGGTGAATGGTTTACACTGTTGAGGTTTGTGTTAGTATATTTTTCTTTTTAAAAATATTTTATTATTTTTATTTTATGTGTATGAGTGTTTTGCCTATATGTATGTAAGTGCACAATGCTCTACACAGGTCAGAAGAGGCTTCGGATCCCCTTGAACTGGAGTTATAGAATAGGCAGTTTTTGGGTGCTGGAGAGATGGCTTAGGGGTTTAGTGGTTAAGGGCACTGGTTGTTCTTGCAGAGGACATGGGTTTGATTCCCAGCACCCACATGGCAGCTAACAACTGTCCTTAATTCCAGTTCCAGCAGGGGATCCGATGACCTCTTCTGACCTCTGCAGGCATTGCAGGACATGGGTGCACCTACCTACATGCAGACAATACACCCATATACAAAATAAAAATAATAAATAATTAAAAAAAAAAAAGAATAGATAGTTGTTATCTGCCATGTGGGTGCTGGGAATCAAACCCAAGTCTCTGCAAGAGCAGGTAGTGCTCTTAAACACTGAGCCATTTCTCCAGGCCCTGTGTTAGTATATTCTATGATATTCAAATAGTACAAAATTACTTAATCATATATTTCTCAGAATTATCCCCATCAAACAATGTATAACTGTAACTTTTTAAGTGACTTAAAAGAAACTAGCATGAAAAAAATAAGATCAGAGAAAAATAGACCTTTATTGTAAGGTACTTTATTACTCCAAATTCTGACAAACTATAGGAAAACAACACTTAACTCTATAGCATATAAACTTTATAGACCAACAGAACAGAAATGTAAATCACTTACTAACCTCATCACTCAACAGTAGTATTATAAAAAAAAAGGAATCTAAAATTCTGTGGTATAGTCATGTATGCATAAAGAACCATATAGTCACTATTTGTGAAATACTGCTATAACCTAAGAAGGTCTAAGAGAAGCAAACAAAACAAGGACAACAACAAAAAACCCCAAAGACTCCCAAAACAAGCCAAACATTACCACAATGCCTTTTCCATTTCACATTCTAATGGCTATACCGGCTAAGTTTATTTTTTCTTTCTTTCTTCCTTTTTCTTTTTGAGACAGTGTCTCACTATGTAGTCCTGGTTGGACTTGAACTCACTATGTAGACGAAGCTGACATCAAACTCACAGAGATCTGCATTCCTTTGCCTCTGGAGTGCTGGGATTAAAGGTGTGCAACACCGAGCCCAGCCTATATGTTAAGTTTTGAACCACCTTCCTCCAATAATGAGCCAGTACCCAAATAAATCCTTATTGGGAAGCACTCAGAAAGAACAATACTTACAAAGTTTTTGAGATGCAAGCTGTAATGATTGACCCCATAGCTTTCTATCTTGACTTTTGAGGCTGTCATTGATGAAATGAATTGCAGGTATAGCTTTGTGCTGGACATGTTTTAGTAGTTTTCCTGCTTTCATACGATCTAGCTCTTGCACAACCACCCAGGGAATTATTAATACAAGTGTGTCAAAGCCTAAAAAATAAAAATTTATTAGAATCCAACAAACATGTATTAAGCTACTAAATCAATTTCTGTAGAAGTCAAAAAACACAGTTCCTGGACTGGTGAGATGGCTCATAGGGTAAGGGTGCTTGCCACCAAACCTGATGACTTGAGTTTGAGCCCCAGAATCCACATGGTGCAGAAGAGAACGGACACCCATAAGTTGTCTATAAGCTGTCCTCTGACCCCCACATACATACTGTGGCACAAGTACACTCCCACATACACATAAAACAAATAAATATGAAAAAAATTAAAGTGCATATTCCCTATCTTAAAGAAATTTAAGACATAGGAAATGAAACATAAAATATGAAAATTAAAGAGGGTAAAAGAAGCAAAAGAATGTTGAGAAGTAACTACTAGGGCTAGAAAGATGGCTCAATGGTTAAGAGCACTGACTGCTCTTGCAGAGGACCTGGGTTCAATATCCAGCACCCACATGGCAACTAACAACTGTTAGAAACTCCAGTTGCAGGGGATCCGACGCCCTCTTCTGACCTCGATGGGCATTGCACAATAGGGTACGTGCAGGCAATACACTTGTATACATAAGATAAAAATAATAAAGTATTTTTTGAAAAGAATTACTACAAGAGCACACAAAAAATGAATTTAGCAGATGTGATTTCTATAATCAAGTTTCCCAATAATTTTAAATTATAATAAATCCCATTAAAAAGAAGATGCTTTAGATTGCTAGGTTAAGCTACAAAGGATTTCTTTAAAAACTTTAGATGATAGAAATATATTCTGAGAAAAAACATCTGTCAATAAAAAATATCAACTGAAAAAAGAAAATCAGAATATGTAAATGTTTTCTAAATACCTGGTATTTCTGTAGTCTTCAAAATTCTAACAAATTTGAGATGATTCATCAAAATATTTGTGTCAATAACAATTAGAAGCTTTTTGTCTGAGGCAGTATTTGCTAGAGAAAAAGAATAAATTTAGGATTTCATGAGAGCTGATAATTGTACAAAACTAAAATTTTGATCATAAAAGCACCAATAATTCATCTAAATTAAAAACCTGTCTTGTAAACTTAATGGAATAAGAGAATTATACAGTTGACTGAATTCCCAACCTGCTATCTGACCCATCTCTTGTCTAGGTCAGAGAAGGTAACCAAAGTCTAATATCCCAACCTAGCATGCTATCATAAATTATTTATGGATATATTTTAATCATAAACAAACTTTCCCCATCAGTAATTATAATTCTAAGTTCTGTCTGCATCACTGAGGCATTCAAGAAGTATAATCTAATTTTAATATACCCTGAATAAAATATAACTAAAAAGCTAAATATGTATAAAAGAAAGAAAATATATAAAACTAGCAATGTTATTTTAAAGAACCTTTGGGAAGATCTGATAAGTTTCCCATTAGATCAGACATGAAAACACTTAGAAAATTTAGAAATATGAATAAAACAGCATTAAAATTTTTACAAAGCTCAAAATGCCATACTAGTTTATATAATATTTATTTTGAGATGACGCCTCACTATGTAGAACAGGCTAGCCTTAGACTTCTATATAGTCCGAGCTGGTCTCCAATTCCCAATCCTCCTGCCTCAGCCTCTCAAGTGCTCGGATAAAAGGCATACACCATGTCCAGCATTTTAAATAACTGTTATCATCTGTTCCCAGTAGTAAAAATAATCAAAATTTTACTATATGAATAAGAAAATCACGAAAATACCTTTAAACAATTTGCCTCATATCTGATCAGTGTTTTACATAGTTTCACGTATTAAAAGTTATAATTAAGAGCAAGAATAAGACAGCTCATTAACTCTCATCACTTCTCTGGCAAAAGAAAAGGAAAATGTCTAATGGCCTAATACTGTAAGTCATATAAGCCAAAAGATATTAAACCTGATTCTTGAAGGTAAAAGAAATATACCATTATCATTTCAAATGAACAAATTTTAGAATTTTTCACCTGAACATTACAAAAACTAAATGTTGGTACATCAATTCTTACGAAAGCACAGATGATAAAAATTAACATACCATTAGAAGAATGTACATCATCTTCCACCAGGTCAATTTCCATACTCATTAACTCTCCAGAAGGTGGAACTACAGGCAAATCCACACTTTTTCCCACACGTGCAGCATGAAGCTCTTCTACTATCTGCATCTAAATTGTAAAAGACCCCAGTGAAGTATATGAGTTACATATACTGCAGATATTTTATAATATAAGAAAGCCTAATTTTCAAGTCACTTGAGATAGTTTATGGAAAGAAAAAAACCTTGTAAGTGTACATGTGAAGGTTAGAGGACAGGTTGTAGGAGTCAGTTCTCTCCTCCCACCATGTTGGCTCCAGGGTTAAAACTCAAGTCATCATCAGGCTTGGGAGCAAGTGCCTTTATCAGCTAGTTCTTCTCTACTACCTCTATAACCTTAGGCAAGTAAACTATGTAACTGAGCAGTCTTCTGAGTGCTGGGATGACAGGATGTGCCTGTCATGAGCTGAATTCAATCTGCTCATCTATAAAGGAGAATATTAAGTTTTATCTATTTCCCTTTAGGATTTTTGTAAAAATTGTAAGTCATGTGCATAAAACCTAGTAAACAATCATCATAATAAATTCATTCTCATTTCTATTCTCACTTCAAAGAACCTTGAAGAATCAACTTTCTTTTATTTTAATGAGTGTAGACAGCTAGCCTAGGATTCAATTCCTAGCCCTTCTAAAAGACAAACTATCTTGCTGAGTATCCCTGAGATTTCTAATACTGTTTATGAGCTATCAGAAATGGGAGTTCTAAATATTTTTCAATTTTTTTTTGTGTGTGTGTGTAGGTATGTACATGTCATGGCATGTATGTGGTCAGAGGACAACTTGCAGGAATTGGATCTCTCCTACCATGTGGGTCTTGGAAGTCAAACTCAGGTTGTCAGGCTTGGTGGCAAGTTCCTTTATCCCCTAAGCCATCTAGTTGGCCCTGAACTCTAAATTTTAAGATCCTTCTCACTTCACAAGTACCTCTTCGATGATATTTTGATATAAAGAAACTAAAATACAGAGCTGGACAGTGGCATACCTGTCATCCCAGCATTCAGAGACTGCTCAGCTGGAGAATCACAAGTTCAAGGCCAGCCTGAGTTGTATAGTGAAAACTGCCTTGGATTAAAGGAGAAAGAGATGAGGAAGAAGAAAAGGAGGAAAATGGGAAGAGCAAGAGAAGAGAAAGAAGAAAAAATAAAAATATAATCTATCTTTAAAGTAGTGATAAATAATCTATCAAAAAGTACTGACTCAGAAGACAGAAAAATATAACTATTATAAATAAAAGTTATCCAGAATAGTTTAAATAGAAAAATAACAAAGTGCTTATGAATATAATTTTGATTTAGAACTAGGCAACATAAAATTCTACTCAATAATTCTATGGGGATAAAGCAGATTCTAGATGGAAAACAGAGCAACAAGTAAAAAATAAAACACTATATGTTCTCATTTTCATTAATAATTTTATCTTATTGCTGAGTAGAACAAAGAAAAATGTATTAATGCCACGCTGTATTTTGGCAACTCTAGGTATACATATAACAGCAAAAGCATAGTGTTAAATCAAAATTCAAGTAATTTGTGACCCTGTTTAAAACAGATTAGCTTACTAGAAACAAAGGCAAAAAGGCAAGTAAATGTAAAGATTTCTCCAAGTATTTGTTGTTTTCTACAGTGCTACAATCAAATGCAGAGTATCATACATGCTAGGCAAGCACTCTACCATCTGAGCTACATCCCTAGTTCCTCCAAATAGTTTTTAATGATATAATAAAATTGTACATATTAAACTTCCTCATAAACTCAAAAATTTCCTATATGTTCATTTAAGTAGTGATATCATTTTCATACTGCCAAAGTATTTACAGATATTTTATTAAAAGGAAACACTGTTTAGCTGGGCATCCTGGCACAGATCGGCAACCCCAGCATTATGTGTCAGAAGGATCACAAGTTTGAGATCAGCCTGGTCTATATAGTGAGACTGGAAGAAAAAAAAAAAAACTGCCTGAATTTCATTAAAAATAAAGTAGAGGGCTGGAGAGATGATTCAGAGGATAAGAATACTTGCTTTTCTTACTGGGGACCTGGGTTCAATTCCCAGCACCCACAACACCTTCTTCTGGCCTCCATGGGCACTGCACAATACAGCACTTACATACACGCAGGCAAAACACACAAAATAAAACTAAATATTTTTTAAAAAGGAAATAAAGTAAAAAAGTGCATTAGTAACCTCTTCATCCTTGTCTTGTATACTTTCGGATGACACTGAAGAACATGATACTTCAACATTCTGAAATGAAAAAAAATCTTTTACTAGTTAAGTACGAAACGTATGCTAGGACTTTCCAACTATGGCACTATTAACACTTGGGGTCAGATAAGTCTTTGTAAAGGGGTCTTTAGGCCTTCTATGATGTTTAACAGCATCACTAGACTCAAGTCACCAGCTATCAGTACCCACTCTGACCCCAATCATTTTCTATTTTAAGATTTTAGTGTTTTTAAATATTTTATTTTTATTTGTCTGAGTATATTGCCTGCATGTGTATAAGTGTACCTGTGTTGTGCGATACCCATAGGTCAGAAGAAGGAGTCAGGTCCCCTGGAACCGGAGTTATAGACCACTGCTTACTGACATGTAGGTGCTGGGATTCGAAGCTGGATCTTCTGCAAGAGCAGCAGTGCTCTTAACCGCTAAGCCATCTCTCCAGCCCCCAAGATTTATTTTACTTTTAACTGATCTTTTTAAAAATGTTTTATTATTTTTTATGTGTATGAGTATATTGCTTGCATATAGGTAAGTGCACCCGTGTCGTGCAATGCCTGTGGAGGACAGAAGAGGCCTTCAGATCCCTGGAACTGGAGTTGAAGACAGTTTGTTAGCTGCCATGTGGGTGCTGAGATTCAAATCCAGGTCTTCTGCAAGAACCAGTGTTCTTAACTGCTGAGCCATCTCTCCAGCCCCTAACTGATCTTTTTCAAAATTACATTTACATGTTTATTTGTGTGTACATGTATGTGTATGTGTACATGTACAGTGTGTGTTGTATGTGTATACAAGTCAGAGGACAACTTGTGAAAGTTGGCTCTTTCCTTCCACCATGTGGGTCTTGGGGATCAAAAACAGGTGTCAGTCTTGGTGCCAGGTACCTTTATCCAATGAGTCATCTTGCCAGCCCTACCCTCAATCTTGGCAATTGAAAATGTCTCCAGGGGACTGAGAGATAGCTCAATGCTCAGCAGTTAAGAGAACTGGCCACTCTTGCAGAAGACCTGGGTTCAATTCCCAGCACCCACATGGTAGCTAACAACTGACTGTAACTGGTTCCAGGGGATCTGAAGCCCTCTTCTGGCTTCTGTGGGCAGTACACGTGACACAGGTACACTTACATACATATGGGCGTAACACTCATGCACATAAAATATAAATAAATAAATAAATAAATAGGTCTCCTGGGGACTGGAGAGATGGCTCATCTGTTAAGAGCACTTATTGTTCTTCCATAAAACATAAGTTTAGTTCCCAGCACCCATGCAGGTGGCTTACTACCACCTGTAACACTGGCTCCAGGGGTTCTGATGCCCTCCCCAGGCATCTGCACACACTGCACTCACATGCACATACCCACAGAAACCCACATATATACATGTAAATAAAAAAATAAAAATAAAATCTTTTTAATAAAAGTCCTCAGACACTGATAAATATCCCAAGAGACCTTTGACTTATCTTCACATAGATGGAAATGGTAAAAGAAAGGAGCCAGGGGCTCCTCCCAAGCCCATGTGACCCCTGAGGAACAGATCCTCAAACGATCTTAAGAACAAAAATAAATTGGTTCATCCGGGCCACTGTATGGTCTTAAACACCCAAAAGAAAAGTATAAGCAAAGATTAAAGGGATCAATATAATTCTTTAAGAGACCATGTGTATAGCTAAAGGCTACAAAACAAGAAACAATGCCAGACAGGAGATACCTTCCTTTGAGTTGTTGGCCAGGGTGGCCCATGAGACTCAGTAACCCAGGATAAAACTGGGAAAATGAACAGCAGACCCCAATCTTATCTAAAGGAATATTGGCAACTGATTGCTGCTAGATGAGGAAGAGCTGATCTTCCTAAAACAAGGAACCCTAGATAGGCTGACTAGATTCAATGGATGGACAAGCATTGGAGAACGGCTGGGGCCGCCAACAACACAGTAGACAATAACAGGGATTACAGAGTATATGGGCTCCAGTGAGGGGTGAGGGGGGGAAGACTATGGGTGGGTGCTATTTGGGATGTGGGTATATAGATGACTAATATTGTTTAGGATGTTCTGTATGAAATACACACAAAAAAATCAACAAATAAAAAAATGTTATATTTAAGGAAGCATAAAAATTTGCTCCATGTTAATTAGTAGAGGTGAAACATATTACCACTGAAATCTACCCAATGATTTTATATCCATACTCAGGAGCCAAGGATCCAAGTGCAACCAATTATGACTAGTAATAATCAGATACA